TTTTTTTTTTTTTTTTTTTTTTTTTTTTTTTTTTTTTTTTTTTTTTTTTATGATCCGAACAAGATTCACAACCCAACTAGAGTTGGGTTGGATTCTAAACTCTATTTTTGAGTTAGTCCGGTTGATTTGACTAAAAAAATCTCCAACCTACGAACTGTACCAAAATTTTCAATTATCTAAAACTTTAACGCAACCTCGTTGGAGTTTGGATTAGGTAGTCATAGTTGATCGAGTCAGCAAGTGAAAAAGATGGTATTACTAAACTTTTGCAAGTGAAAAATTTGCACTTTCTTTTGTCACAACGTAACTTTCATGAACTATAACAGCCTAAGACCTCTGCTACCAGATACTGTCCTCTTTGAATTTTCCCTTTCGAGACCACACCCTTGTAAAAAAATCTTTTTCGTTCTCCTCTCCAATCGATATGGGATTTCACAATTCACCCCTCTTTGAGGCCCATCGACCTTGCTGACACTCGTTCCCTTCTCCAATCGTTGTGCCCCCCCCTCCTCCTCCTCCTCCTCCTCCACCACCAATCCACTCTCCTTCGGTGCCTAGCGTCCTTGCTGGCACACCGTCTCGTGTCCACTCCCTTCGGGGCTCAACCTCCATGCTGGCACATTGCCCGATGTTTGGCTCTAATATCATTTATAATAGTCCAAGCTCACCACTAGCAAATACTGTCCTCTTTCAGCTTTTCCCTCAAGGTTTTCAAAATGCGTATGTTAGGGAGAGGTTTCCACACCCTCATAAACAATGTTTCATTCTCCTCACCGTGGGATCTCACATGAACCATTTTCTTACACTTTCGTGGCGCTTTGAGTAAATCTATCCAAAGTGTTCAATAATTTTTGAAGTGTGGTTATAAATTGGTGGCTCAAACCGTAACATACAATGTATTGAACTGAGAAATCCAGAGAATCAAATCTTTTTCCATTCTAATTCAACCCAATTCTCAAAGAACTCAATAAGAAGAAACTGGTACAAATCAGATAATTCATATTATGAATTGCCCCACACTTGGGGGCTTGAATGTTAATTTATTTTCTTCTTTTCCATTTTCCAGGATGCATATGAAGTAAGAGTAATCTGTGTAGAAAACTTATCTAATCTTCGATCGACAGGCGAGTTGAATTGGGCAGTCTCCGACCATGAATAAATGAACTAAACAGATGTAATGCTCTTGATGGCTGCGCATAAGGTACCATATGAGCAGCGCCTCTTACTGTCGCAAACGTCAACAGATTTCCATACTCGATCGCCCAACCTCCGACCTGCCCATGAACAGCCATGGCTTAAGATGGAACCAAAATTCAGAAGAACAAAAGACTGATGAAACAATTAGAATGCAGAAACTACCTGGCCTTTGTGGAACCAAGTCCCGTATGGGACCGTGATCTTGAATTTCATATCATGAGCGAGTTCACGGACGAGCGTTCGAGATCCCAACAAGGGTACGACAGAATCTTGATCCCCACTACAATGGAAGATCAGGCCAACTAATACATCAACTAGATAACTACTCTGTTTCTTGCTTCTATTTTTGTAATACGAAACTAAGTTACCTGAAAACCCAAACGTGAATTCGATTTTCGATTATCCGTTTGAGCAATGGAAGTATGTCGATGTTACCATCCGTGTCGCTGTAATTTATTAGACTGTCAATCAAGCTCACAAAATGTCAGGTTCCTGAAATGGATTTAGCAATGTACAGTGCTTGAACATGAGCAAAACTCCTGCTATTTAACAAAGAATGAGTACTTTTTCTATTCGAAATCGATCGGTTTTGCTTTTATAAAAGCTACTATTTCGCAGTATCACTTACGAACTGCACATCGACCAGCTGTAAGGTAATTTAGTTCGGTTAGCATGAAGCGCTTTCTGAACCTCTGGAAGGTTGAAGTAGAATCGTCTTTCCATGGTCATGCACACATCGACCCCCAAGCTTATTTTAGTAGCCTGCAAAAGATTAGATCGAAACTTAGGCACTCAACTAGAACGAAATAGAAGAATAAATTGAACGAAGATGTAGTCGATACCATTTTCTTCAACCGTAGCTCTTGCTCCACTATAGATGGATAGCACACGTCGAGGATGACGTCGTAATAGTTTATGTAATCGCCAACAATGTGGTTCGCTATGGATATGGCTTCATTGCACGAATGTGTCACATTGTGAGGACTCGAAAAAGTATAATCCTCGAAGTCACATTCGTTCATGATGGTTAGACCGATTTCATCCGAAATCATCCCATGCGACCAATAAAACTCGTACGATGCTGGAACATCTCTATCGAGTTTCAATAGAGGGTTCCCGATCTAAAACGACAAACCCATTTGAACTGTAAATAAAAGTATAAAGAAAACAAACTGTATTATCAAATTACTATACTTCTTACAGCAACTCCTTTGATATTGAACTTGAAACCACTGGACTTTTCATTATGATCCAACAGAGCAATAGCCAACTGTGGTATGTAATGCCCTGTGCAATAAACGCGAAACTATTAACCGACATTCTTCCAAACTAAGCTACGAAAGAGAAATTCTCAATCCGAATCTGATTTCTAAAACATGTCTGCTAAGGAGAAGTTTCCACACCCTTATAAAGAATGCTTCGTTTCCCCCTCCAACCGATGTGGGATCTCACAATCCACCTCCATTTGGGACCCAGCGTCCTCATTGGCACACCGCCCGGTGTCTGGCTCTAATACCATTTGTAATAGTCCAAGCCCACCGCTAACCGATGTTGTCCAAACCCTAGAATGAACAACTGATCTCTCAAAATGACAACAAGCGAATCGATTCAAGAAATCAAGTTCTACACTAAGGTATCAACAACCAAACTCGCTTATCACCAAAAAAGACAATTCGATCTCGTTCATGTTTAACAAACCTGCATAACTTTCGCCCGTAAGATACAACGCTCTAGCTTTGAACGATGGAAACTTCTCGTACCAATTCATCATAAACATATGCATATCCCTGGCTGCGACGAACAGATAATTATACTCAACTTCTTAACTTATGAACCAAACATCCTAAATCATCTAAACCCGACATCGACGTAAACGATTTCCCTTACCAGCAGAGGCATCTCCACAGTCATAATCTGAACTTGTGTTTGAATATGACCATCCAACTCCAGCAGGAGATTCAACAAACAGAAGATTTGAAGCTTCAAATGATTCAAAATGAAACTCAGTTGCTTCAAATTTCAAACTAAATTGACAATGAAATCTCTCATACCTTTATTCCAAGACATGGGGTTTGTCCTAAGGCTTCTTCCATCCCCAGTGGGATAAAAAGGACCCAACTCTGTGAAAGCACCTCCACCAACGGAAGAACAACCAGGCCCTAAATGATTTCAACCACAAATTCTCTTTACAATGATTCTAATCTATGAACAGTCAACAAAAACAAGTATTACATGATTTGAAGAACAAAAAATGGATCAAAATGTGATTCGATTGAAGAAATTAAGAACATAAAATGATCAGAAACCTCCATTGAGCCATAGAGTGAGAGGTTTGATCTCTGGCTGCTGCTCTGCTTCAACGAAATAGTAGAACAAGCTCCTTCCATTTTTGACATCCACATCGACATACCCAGCATACTGTTTGAACCCAACAGGCGGCTGTCCCGGCAGCCGCAGCACCAGATCTTCACTAGGAAAACCCTCAACTCTGCCGCCGCTGCTCAGTAACCAGAAAAAACCAAGCACAAGCAAAACCCCATCAAAAACCCACAGACCCATTTCAGAAATCCACCGTAACCCACAAAAATAAACAAACCCCTCTTCCTCCTTCAACGGATTTCAAAGGAATTTAAATTAGAAAGCAGTTATTGGCGTTTTGAAAACCAAATTCTGTTTGAATGAGCACGTGAATCTCTGCCACTTTAAAGAAAAAGGGGTGAAGTGGAAGAAGTGGGGGCGAGGGAGGGGCAAAGCTATGTGCATGCGGGGCTTGAGAGGTAAGAAATGAATGATGAGAGTGAGAAAAGAAGCGTTGGGAGCTGTGAATCAATAAATGGCATGAAATTATCCAATTCTACAGTATTTTTCGTCTAAATCTGCTCAAGAACTAGCAGCCAAGGCAGCAAATTATGGATTACTCTTGTTCACGGGTTTTGTGCAAACAGTTTTTTTTTGTTTTCCTGAAAGATAAGGAATTCATTCCGTTTCGAGTTTAGAAGAAGAAATCTTGACGTAATGTGTTAGAACAAGGAGTTCATCTCTTGTGACAAAAGAAGTTATCTTTCAATATATATATATATATAGAAAGATGATAAAAAAAGGAGTATTAGGATTATGCACACGCTATAAAATTCATAATATTTTAGTACTCGTATTGTGATTTGGGTTAACCTATTCTTTTAAAATAGAGATAGTTCAACTGTCTAGATCATATACTTATGACCAAAAGAACGGAAGTATACACACATAATGATATAAATTAGAGAGATCTATTTTACGTGTGGGGTTGAGGTCTTGGAAGGGACCTACCTAAAACAGAGAGGAGATTCCTCGTTTAGACGGGAAATGAGAAATATTTTTTCCTTATTAGATAAATGAGGCGAAGGACAAGATTATATTCTCGTCCATATCCCTGCCCAGTTTCTCGCCCCATCTCGTCTTGTCCCTGCCTCGTTTAATATGAATATATTTTCAACACATATATGATTTTTAGCTATATTAGATAAATGAGGCCAATGACAAGATTATATTCTCGTCCTTGTCCCTGCCCAGTTTCTCGATCTGTCTCATCTCGTCCCTGCCTCGCTGAATATGAATATATTTTCCACACATATATGATTTTTAGTTATATTAAACTAAAAACTAAATTGTAGGCTTTTATAATGTATTAAAATTTGAATTTTTTAAAAATTAGATGGGTTGAAATATATTGATTTATTAGTAAATTAAAAAAATTATATTGAAAAATGATAACTTTAAAATAACTATTTAAAATAAAAATAATAAACAGAAAAAATTATTGTAGAGAACTCGATCCTAACAAAAATAAATGGAGAATTTCGATGAATGAAATAAGTGGTGGGGATAAAGACGGGACCTGCCCTACTCGGTGGCTAGCAAGTGAGAGTAATTATGAGAGAGGTACACCACTTGAGTGACATTGGTGGTGGTAGTCTAACACTCGATCTATATCATGAATTTCATACACACGTTGTAATTGGAACTACGAATTTTCAATATGTTGTGGTGGACACATTGATGAAAGGTTGAAAGGGTTGTAAGTTACGAGTTTCGTTCATAAATTATTACCCTTTGTTTAAAACGTAACTCTCGTGTGTTGGAATGATTTGAAATCATTTTTGGCGTTGTGTTATCATGAAACAATTGACTTGAAGTTGAAAATCAATTAGTGAAAATACTATTAAGAGATGGAGGCGTACAAATGTCACAAACGTACTAAGAAAATAATAAGTTGTGATCATCACGTACAGGCATTAGAACGCGATACATGAGTGGCTCCCTGACGTGCCTCATGAAGACGGAGAAAGATAAATATCATGATGCGATTGAAGAGAAGCTAAAGCACAAGCAAGAATACACACCGATGTCATCAATTGTATTAGAGACATGCTTAGCGGAGGTCAGATTGAGCCTCGGGCCATAATCTCAAAAGTTCAAGTTTTATCGTGAGATTTGACAAGCGACTCTAGAGCTAAATCTGTATAAGTGAAAGAAGTAAGCTTGCCAAATTTGGACACTACACAAACGTTCTGCATTAACATCTCCTCATCGAAATTTCATGTTTGAAAATGAGTTTTAGAGGACAGTGTCAGGTGGCATGAAATTGAGAGGCTGAATTATATTGTTGCATTACCTGGGACGATTTGCACGTCAACACCTCAATTGTACATGGTCGGGTTGGGTTGAGAGATTTTTTTAAAAGTTCGAGTTGGTTGGATTGGTAACCCAACCCAACCCAATCATCTATTTTCGGGTTGGGTTGTCAAATTTAATTTTTTTTTAAATTTTATTTATCCGCCATTTATAATTAGATAAAATATATTAAAAGTTCATAAACAAACACAAATCAATCCATAATTATTAAAAAAAAAATTGTGATATAATAATGTTATAACAAATAGATAATAAATATATTAGAATTTATAATATACTTTAAAATTATATATATATAATTTATGAACATAAAACCTATTCGTTTTTGTTTCGAAATAACTTAAGATGTGTAAATAATAAACCTTTGTATTATATAATAAACAGCATATTTAAGATGTGAATAATTATTTAACAATAGTATAAAATGTATTAATAGTTAATAATATAAAAGAAATTAAACAAAATAATAAAAAGATTTGCCTAGCTTCAATTTCGGGCATTAGTGTCCGATTAATACCATTCTATCAAATACATTAATATACAAAGATTCTTAATATATTTTATATATTTTTATTTGGCTCGGGTCAATTCGGAAGTTTTGCCTACAACCCGAAACCAAATTGATTCCGTTCAGGTTCAGAAAAATGAACCCAATCCTACCCAAAATATTAATCTAACCCAACCCAACCCAACCCAACTCTAGGTTGGTTCGGGTTGAATGTACTAGAAAAAAAACAAAAAATCTTTAATAACAAGCATTTTATGCAAGATTAAGCCCATGCCCAGGCCCAGGACCATGCCCAGGCCCAGGACCATGCCCAGGCTCAGGACCATGCTCATGCCAGGCCCATGCCAGGCCCATGCCAGGCCCAGGCCCAGGACCAGGCCAAGGCCCGTGGCTTCGTACCCGGAGCCCCATACGGCCACTGAATAGTAAAATGAGGAAACCAAATTAGGGTTTCTGCATCGAACGCCTATATAATCACAGTAGCCGGTATCATCAGCCATTGTATCTTTGGGAATCATCATCTTCTTCTTCTTCTTGTTCTTCGTTTGAGAGTCCTGTGTTTGATTATAGTGTTTTGATTTGTCAATTAGAGTAACAAGAAGTGTTTTGGCAATGAGGATTCTTTGAGATTGTCATGCACCACTCTGATGATGTTTAACATCAGTCTGTGATGATAAGTTTCTCTAAACCCATTGATCTGAGCCTCTTCTTTCTCTGTATTCTCTTTGATCCTCTCTTGTTCTCTGTTTTATGTTCAAATCTTGCCTTCATAATCTTCTTCTGTTGGTGTAGTGAAAGTCGCTTTGATTCTCTTTTTTCTCTGTTTTATGTTCAAATCGTGCCTTCATCTTCTTATTCTGTTGTTGAATTCGTTGTTTGAGGAATGAGATTTTAATTTTGAAGTGAAGGAGATGAAGTTAAGGAACCAAATGATGGGCGTCTTCTTCTTCGGAAGATGCAACCATGATGCGGACCGAATAGCTTTTAGCTTGTGGATCAATTTTGGCATCTGATGGTTCCTTGTTTCATTATTATTGAGCGATTTGAACGCTTAACCTTCTGAATAAATGTACCTACTGGACATAGCCAAAGTTCTTCGTTTAAGCAAATGAGAGGATTTTTTTTAATCAAAACGTTTAAGAAAATAAAGCTTTTGGCTTGGAAGTATTTAGGTGGACGATTCACGATAATCTAATTTTGTAGTAAAGGACATGATTTTGGTGAAGATTTGTCTAATGAACAAATTTTTCGTGAATTTTTGTATTTTGAGGAAGCCGAATTTTTCTTATATATTCGTGATCTTCTCCTTAATTAGCCAATAAGAGACTTCAAAGGGGCTGACAAGGCGTGTTCTCTTACCATGGAAAGTCAAAGATCTTGGTGGCATGATAAGGAGAATTTCATTGGACCCAGAAATGATACATTGGAAGAATCTTTTGGCTCTCTTGATTACAGCAACAATAACGTCACCAATATGAGCATGTCGTCGGTACAGGAAAGAAAAGAAAGAAAACTGGAAAAAAGCATCAAAGATCTTGGTGGCATGATAAGGAGTCCTATAAAAGATGGATTGAGACTTCCTTGGGATCTCTATGTACTTGTTTAGTTGTACATGGGAGACAAGTCATGAGAGAATGTTACTATGAATAAAGTGAGTTATGATCCTCACACGTAGTTACAGAAGGTAGCAGTACATAAGTGTTGATCAATTGGTTAGATAAGTGTTATGATGCTATTGAGGATAGTGCATCATCTAATACACCAAAAAGAGGGCATTCAAATCAAGCTGAGGCATAAGTAAATTAGAGGCAACGATATCAGACAAACTTGATAAGGGTTGGGTATGGCCCTGAGTCTTAACCTCAATAGTTGTGGTGTGCCTTGATGCTATTGAGGATAGTGCATCATCTAACACACCAAGAGTACATTCAAACCAAGTTGAGGCATAAGTAAGATAGAGGCAACGATATCGACAAACTTGATAAGGGTTGGGTATGGCCTTAAGCCTTAACCTCAATAGTTGTTTTAGTATGGGTTTGAGCATATAGCTTTGTAGTTAAGTTTGTATATATAAAATATGAATATTCTTCAAATTTGGTGGTGTTGATTGGACACACGAGAAACGCTCCATGAGATTGTATGACCCAAAATCAGATATACTACCAAACCAAATATGAATCATAATGTACGGTAGGAGAAGCATGGTGTCAGTTCTCTACCACCTCTACCCATATGTTTGAGGTTGATATATGCCAGTATGGAAACTAAAATGATTTTGGATGGAAACGGGAGGGTTTAAAATCGGATGGAAATGGGAGGGTTCATGTCTCAATAAATAAAGCTTGGATGGATGTATGTATAGGATCTCCCAACGGATGACTAGGATGACATCCTAAAACTTAAGATTATATCACGATTTAATCAATAGATATCACATAAGGAACGAGAACCTGAGACACAATTTTCTTTTTTCTCTTAATTTATAGTTGTTATAGAGTTTATTACAATTTTCTTTTTTCTCTTAATTTATAGTAGTTATAGAGTTTATTTTTATGATTGGGACTAATTAAAGAAGTAGCTTAATCTGTGTAATTTATAGTAGTTATAGAATT